CATTGTTTGAGTGTACAGTGCTCTCTGGATGTAGGTGAACTCCAACTCCCAAACTCAAGGTCAATGCTCACCAAACCCTTCCAGTATATTCTGTTGGTCATGGGAGTCTCTGTGCCAAGTTTGGTTTAATTCCATCATTGGTGGAGTTCAGAATGCTCTTTGATTGTAGGTGAACTATGACCCCCAGCAACTACAACTCCCAAATGTCATGGTCTATTTTCTCCGAACTCCACCAGTGTTCACATTTGGGCATATTGAGTATTCCTGTCAAGTTTGGTCCAGATCCATCATTGTTTGAGTCCACAGTGCTCTCTGGATGTAGGTGAACTACAACTCCCAAACTCAAGGTCAATGCCCACCAAACCCTTCCAGTATATTCTGTTGGTCATGGGAGTTCTGTGTGCCAAGTTTGGTTCAATTCCATCATTGGTGGAGTTCAGAATGTCTTTGATTGTAGGTGAACTAGAAACCCCAGCAACTACAACTCCCAAGTGTCAAGGTCTATTTTCAGCAAAATGACTGTTATGAAGTAGAAAATAATGTTATGGTTGGGGGTCAGCACAACATGAGGAACTGTATTAAAGGGGTCGCGGCATAAGAAAGGTCGAGAACCACTGCTTTATGTCAAACCCTGCTTGTCACAATTCCTTTCGTGATGCCCCCCACTCAGCCCCAAATACTCCTCTTCCCTCTCCTTCCTCGGAGATGGTCCTCGGTGCCCACGCGGTGCCACCAACCCCAGAGAAAGGAAAAGGGCATCCCTTCTTCCTCGCACGCCTCCGAAACCCAGTGACAAAATCCCTCCTGTGTCCTTTTATGTATACATTTTCGCATCCTCCTCCTCCTCCTTTCCCACCGCCTCGTTCTTTCCTTTCGGAGAGGGAGGAGGGCACATCCATAAAATGGCTACACCTTGAACAAAGCTTTGGAAGCACAGAAAGAGAGAGAAGAGGACAGAGAAGGAAGGAGTGGGGTGGAGGGGAGACAAACCCTTTCCCACAAATGCCTGCAGAATAAAAGAGAAGGAAGGAGACAAAGGATAAGGAAAGAAAGGAAGAAGGTGAAAGGAAGAGAGGAAGAGTGACCTGGAACTCACCACGGCTGGTCCACTCCTGAGCCACTGCATCTTCCTTCGGAGGCTTCTCACAAAAGGGAGGAAGGGGAGCAGCCGGCGGATTGTCCGGCAAGGACCAACGTGCCGAAAGGAAGAGGCTGGGGGTGGCAAAGCAAGGCTCATGGGTGTTAGCCCCCCTCCTCAGCCCTCTCCCTTCAATCCCGTCATCCTTCCAGCCCAGCAGCAGCAGCAGAGAGCCCTGGAAAAGGAGCAGAGCACAAAGAGACAGCAAGGAAAGGAGGGAGGGAGGGATGGAGGAAGGGAGGAAGGGAAGGAGGACGGGAGGAAAAAGAGGTTGTCTCTCGGGATGCTACTTGGGACGCTGTGTCTTTGGCCACATTCCCTTGGAAAGCAGGGCAAAGGCACGCCACCCACTCCCTGCTTCTTTCACCGCAACCTTCACCTCCACCTCGACCTGGGAATCAGGTGTGCTGGAGAGAAGGTGAAGTGTGGCACAGGAAAGAAGGGCTAGCCATTGTTTCAAGGGGAGATATATAAATTCTCTGCTTTCCTCTCCAATGTGGCTCATCCTACCCACCCACCCCCTTCTGCTGCTTCTTCCCAGATGTGCGCCGTCAGCGAAAAGCTCCACCGCCTACGCATGGGGAGCACTTGGGCTTTTCTGCTGACATCCTTTGGAAAAAGGTGGGATGCTTCTTGCAGTGCTCTCTCCAAACCCAGTGCTTTCAGGAGCAGGATTCAAAACGATCTTGACAGATTAGAGAGATGGGCCGAAACGAACAAAATGAAGTTCAACAGTGACAAATGCAAGATACTCCACTTTGGCAGGAAAAACGAAGTGCAAAGATACAGAATGGGGACAATGCCTGGCTCAAGAGCAGTATGTGTGAAAAAGATCTTGGAGTCCTCGTGGACAACAAGTTAAACATGAGCCAACAATGTGATGTGGCGGCAAAAAAAGCCAATGGGATTTTGGCCTGCATCAATAGGAGCATAGTGTCTAGATCTAGGGAAGTAATGCTGCCCCTCTATTCCGCTTTGGTTAGACCACACCTGGAATATTGTGTCCAATTCTGGGCACCACAATTCAAGAGAGATATTGACAAGCTGGAATGTGTCCAGAGGAAGGCGACTAAAATGATCAAGGGTCTGGAGAACAAGCCCTATGAGGAGCGGCTTAAGGACTGGGCATGTTTAGCCTGAAGAAGAGAAGGCTGAGAGGAGATATGATAGCCATGTATAAATATGTGAGAGGAAGCCACAGGGAGGAGGGAGCAAGTTTGTTTTCTGCTTCCCTGGAGACTAGGACGCAATGGAACAATGGCTTCAAACTACAAGAGAGGAGATTCCATCTGAACATTAGGAAGAACTTCCTGACTGTGAGAGCCGTTCAGCAGTGGAACTCTCTGCCCCGGAGTGTGGTGGAGGCTCCTTCTTTGGAAGCTTTTAAACAGAGGCTGGATGGCCATCTGTCAGGGGTGATTTGAATGCAATATTCCTGCTTCTTGGCAGAATGGGGTTGGACTGGATGCCCATGAGGTCTCTTCCAACTCTTTGATTCTATGATTCTATGATTCTTCTATTCGTGGACTCATCCCATTTTGGTTTCTGGCCAGCCAGATTCCAAAACTATGGAGTTGCAAGAGTCCCCAAAGGCCATCCAGTCTAACCCACTTCTGTTAGGCAGAAGGAACCTCATCCAACCCCTACCAACAGATCCAGTCTCTGTTTCTAAACCGCGAGATGGAGGCTCCGTCACACATATCCCACTATTAAACACAGCTCTTACCACTTTATCACATTTCCTAAATTCCTCTGAGTGCTACACTTAAAATGTGGTAAGCAAGTGTGCTCATCACATTAGGTTGGGTTCAAGTGTAGCTTAGAGCAGTGTTTTTCAACCTTATTTATTTATTTATTTCATGTACTTGTACCCCGCCCTTCTCACTCCTGAGGGGGGGACTCAGGGCGGCCTCACAGCAAACACCATTCGGTGCCATCATAATGATAAAAACAATCAACAAATTCATTAAAACAAAACATTAAATAAACAGTTGTTAAAACACACCAATTATTATGTTAGGAAATCCAGCCCAACAATATCTGGAGGGCCGCATTAAAAATATCACCTTCCTAATGCCACGACCCCTTAATAAACTTCCTCATGTTGTGGTGACTCTCAGCCATAAAATTATGTTAGTTGCTACTTCATAATTGTAATTTTACTCCTGTTATGAATCGTAATGTAAATATTTGATATGCAGGATGGATTTTCATTCACAAATTTGGCACAAATACCCGTTACACTCACATTTGAATAATGGTGGGGTCATTTGGGAGTTGTAGTTGCTGGGATCTATAGTTCACCTACAATCAAAGAGCAATCTGAACTGGAATTGAACCAAACTTAGCACACAGAACTCCCACGACCATCAGAAAATGCTGGAAAGATTTGGTGGGCACTGACCTTGAGTTTTGGAGTTGTAGTTCACCTATATCCAGAGAGCACGTTGGACTCAAACAATTATGGATTTGGACCAAACTTGGTACGAATACTCAATATGCCCAAATGTGAACATTGGTGGAGTTTGGGAAGAATAGACCTTGATATTTGGGAGTTGTAGTTGCTGGGATTTCTAGTTTACCTACAATCAAAGCATATTCTGAATTCCACCAATGATTGAACTGAACCAAACTTGGCACACAGAACTCCCATGACTAAGAGAAAATACTGGAAGGGTTTGGTGGGTATTGACCTTGAGTTTTGGAGTTGTTGTTCACCTATATCTTGATCTCCAGGTTGAGAAATGCTGCTATGGAAAAAGGTGGGATGCTTCTTACAGTGCGCTCTCTGCCACCCAGTGCTTTGTTCTCCTATTCACAGACGCATCCTATAAAATCCAGTACACAGATCAAGAGCCTGGCAAAACTTGGTACATAAAACTAGGAACGCTTGGAAACAAGACCGTCATGAAATTCCAACATTGACGAGACGGAGGCAACTCTTTCTCTTGTAACAATATAAAGCTTTTCCTGATCCCAGAACTGAAAGGAAAGCATTTCTCTTGCCCTTACAACCAGAAAANNNNTTTCGCTCATGACATCATTGAGGTGCTCAAGCTCCAGCGCCCCGACAAGGCGGTGATCCTTTGCTGGAATTGTTTCATATGCAGAAACAATTCAATTTGTTTCTCTCCTAATTTTGGGAAATACAATTTAAAATCAAAAATATTATTTTTTTGGAAACAGTGTCCAAAAGATACTTCTATGTCCTGGTTCTGATTAAGCTTTAGAACAGCAGTTTAAACCGCCAGCCACAGCAAATCTTGCCAATTTAATGTTGACAGCTCAAGCCCAGGTTGGAGTGAGCTCCCAACTGTCAGTCCAGCTTCTGCCTACCTAGCAGTTCAAAGACAGCAATGTGAGTACATAAACAGGTACCACTTTGGTGGGGAAGTAATAAAAGGCACCCATGCAGACATGCCGGTGATCCGATCAGGAGAGGATTTAGGACAACAAAACCTCCTCAGCATGGAAGATGGAGTAATAGCACATGCACACACACACACCTGTGGCCAGAGTCACACACAGCCTCCAGATGCCAGAGATGGAAAAAGATGGGAAGCCTTTACCTCTGTTTATGTACTGTCTGACTTGTTCATTGTATAAACAGTGTTTACTATTTGCTGTATATGTGTACTGTAATCTGTCATGAGTCCCCTCAAGGAGATAGGGAAGAATATAAATAAAATATGTTATTATTATTATATTAAGAGTTGTAGATTTATTCTTGATCTTAATTAGGAGACATTATCAGAAGACTGAGATCCCAAACGACAAACAGTGCAGAGGATCCCAGCTTGACAAGGGTCTTGATCTCGTACCCACAATCCCAGATAGATAGATAGATAGATAGATAGATAGATAGATAGATAGATACATTTTATTGATTGGCCTATTGGCCGTATCAAAACATTTAACACATAACACATTTAACACATAGTCATACATACAACATACAGCCCTCAGTATAAGAGAGGTTAAAATAAAAGAGGTTAAAATAAACAAACCCACAATCCCATTTTCCTATGATTCTCCAATTAGATGTACATTGCCCTATAATCCAGTTTCAGAATGTGGATTAACTGCATCGAACTGGATTAGATGAGTCTACAATGTCCTATAATGCAGAATAATGCAGTTAATCCACCTTTTGAACCTGGATTATAGGGCAGTGTAGATCCAGCCTACATTGGCTGCCACGACAGGAAAATGCTGTTCTAGGTCTATGCTTCCAAGTCCACATTCTCAGCAAAAGGTCGGCACTCCAGATCCAAAACTAGATGCTGCACGTGAGGAGCGTAAGATTTCACTTGTTCAATGTGGAGGATTATTGTCCTCCACTCCTTGTTATCCAATTCCTGTAGCAAATCCCTGATCCGGATGGCTGTGAGCTCTGCCCAGTTCTGCCATTCACATTTGGCTGCCAAAGCTGGAGTTCTCCTTTCAGCATCCTGCAGAATATTGTGGTCTCCCGGACCCATTTTGCCTTCTTCTGCCAGTAGTTGTTTATCAGACCATTCCGACATCAAGTTGTGGGGCAGTTCACGGGCCTTTGTTGGGAAAGATTCCACATTCTGATGGATGTGAAGAATGCCTCCCACGTCCTTTCGCAAAAGCTGGCAGGCAACTGGCCAGCCGGCCTCCGATGTGGGGATCAGCCCCAGATTCACCCTGTCAGCCACGTCCTTCAGTTGTAGCTGCAGAGGAGGAAAAGAGACAAGGAATATCAGAAGAAACATTACACCAGGTGAGATATGATGTCCAATTTTCACAGCATTTTTTATTCTAACTAGCCGTCCCCTGCCACACGTTGCTGTGGCCCACTTTGGTGGTCATGAGGATTCTGTGTGGGAGGTTTGGCCCAATTCTATCGTTTGTGCGGTTCAGAATGCTCTGTGATTCTAGGTGAACTATAAATCCGAGGAACTGCAACTCCCAAATGTCAAGATTCTATTTTCCCCAAACTCCACCAGTGTTCACATTTGGGCATATTGAGTATTTGTGTAGAGTTTGGTCCAGATCCATCATTGTTTGTGTCCACAGTGTTCTCTGGATGTAGGTGAACTACAACTCCCAAACACAACATCAATGCCCACCAAACCCTTCTAGTGTTTTCTAGAGTCCTGTGTGCCAAGTTTGATTCAATTCAATCATTGGTTGAGTTCAAAATGCTCTTTGATTGTAGGTGAACTATAAATCCCAGCAACTACATCTCCCAAATGACAAAATCATTTTTTTAGTGAAGGACATAGATTGGGTTGTTAGGTGTCTTGTGTCCAAATTTGGTGTCAATTCGTCCAGTGGGTTTTGAGTTCTGTTAATCCCACAACCGAACATTACATTTTTATTTATATAGATTGCGAGCAATTCTTCAGAATCTCCAGCAGACAGTCTCACCTTTTTTTAATGTAATATAATATACTGTATATACATATAATATTTATAATATTATAATGCAAAGCAATATAGGGGCCCCGGTGGCGCAGTGGGTTAAAGCGCTGAGCTGCTGAGCTTATTGATCGAAAGGTCGCAGGTTCGATTCTGGGGAGCGGCGTGAGCTTCCCCTGTCAGCCCCAGCTTCTGCCAACCTAGCAGTTTGAAAACATGCAAATGTGAATAGACCAATAGGTACCGCTCCGGTGGGAAGGTAACGGCATTCCATGCAGTCATGCCGGCCACATGACCTTGGAGATGTCTATGGACAATGCTGGCTCTTCGGCTTGGAAATTGAGATGAGCACCAACCCCCAGTCGGACACGACTGGACTTAATGTCAGGGGAAAACCTTTACCTACCTTTTTAATGCAATATAATAATAATATGATATTATAATTATATATAACATTACAATATAATTGTATAGTACAATATAGTAATATTTAATAATGTATATTTATATTGCATATTATTAGCATAGTACAATATCAGTTTTAAATATTGTTATATTGTACTATACCAATTATATTGTAATATTATTAGTAATAGTACATGCAATATAAATATATAGTTATATCATATTATTATTAGTAGTAGTAGTAGTATATTGCATTACATTATAATATTATAATAAATAAAGCCCGGCTGCTCATTGGAGGGAAGGATACTAGAGACAAAGCTGAAGTCCTTTGGCCACATCATGAGGAGACAGCAAAGCCTAGAGAAGACAATGATGCTGGGGAAAGTGGAAGGCAAAAGGAAGAGGGGCCGACCAAGGGCAAGATGGATGGATGGCATCCTTGAAGTGACTGGACTGACCTTGAAGGAGCTGGGGGTGGTGACGGCCGACAGGGAGCTCTGGCGTGGGCTGGTCCATGAGGTCACGAAGAGTCGGAGATGACTGAACAAATGAACAACAACAAAATGCAATATATTATATTATAAGAATTGCACAGGAGACAAGGTGGCCCCCTGTCGTCGTCGTTCCCCCTTCACTCTGGCCCAGAGTGCCCCATGCCCTGACCGTTGTAAACCCTCAGCAAGAAAAGCACCTTTGCGTCTCCTAATCTTTTAAAGGAACCACTGTGCTTGCATCTTCCTCGCTACTCACCTTCCTGTTATCTCCCTGGTGAACATGGCATTTATCTTGTACACCATTCAATTCCAAGTTCTTCCTCAAAGCTTCCACAGCATAAGGGTTCCATTCACAGGCATGGACAAAAGCTGCACCAGCGTGAACCAGGTAGGGCAGGGTGAAATAGCCGATCCCTGAAGATCAAAAAAAGAGGTGGCTGTAAATCCCTGTTATCACATCAGGAAAGGACCTCCAAGGATCCCGGGTCCCACCATCTGCTATATGGTGAACCTTGCAATAAAAGATGCAGTGGCAGCATTCCTGACAGATGGCAAGCCTAAGCATTTGTGTCCATTGCAATCCCTTGTAGTTGCTCTTGTATGAAAGAGTGAATGGCTTAAACTCCCAAGAGCAAGCAAGGGGGGAAAGAGTATGAAGAGAAATCCAGCGTGTTGGTCATTATGACTATTCTCTATCTCTATTTGACATACACAATTGTGATCATTTTGGCTGAGGATCATGCATATCAAAGATATCCCAAAGGCACTGCCTTAGGCTACAATGACCTGAAATCACACAATCATAACATTAAAGAATTGGAAGGAACTCTTAAGAGCCATTAACATAGAAATCCAAGTCAAAGCAATGTAAACTGTCTTTGAAAACCTTCAGGGAAGGGGAGTCCTCCGCCTTCACTGTTATTTATTTATTTATCGTGTCAGGAGTGAACCAAAACAGTTGTATTGCATTAAAAAAACAGACAGACAAACAAACAAAACACAAAGTTTGCAGACTTGGTATTCTATTAACTGTCCTTTGACCAGTATCTGGCCACTTGGAGTGCCTCTGGTGTTGCCGCAAGAAGGTCCTCCATTGTGCATGTGGCAGGGCTCAGGTTGCATTGCAGCTGGTGGTCTGTGGTTTGCTCTTCTCCACACTCGCATGTCGTGGATTCCACTTTGTGGCCCCATTTCTTAAGGTTGGCTCTGCATCTCGTGGTGCCAGAGCGCAGTCTGTTCAGCGCCTTCCAAGTCGCCCAGTTTTCTGTGTGCCCGGGGGGGAGTCTCTCATTTGGTATCAGCCATTGGTTGAGGTTCTGGGTTTGAGCATGCCACTTTTGGACTCTCGCTTGCTGAGGTGTTTCTGTGAATATCTCTGTAGATCTTAAAAAACTATTTCTTGATTTAAGTCGTTGGTGTGCTGGCTGATACCCAAGCATGGGGTGGGCCAGAGATGTCACTGCCTTGGTCCTTTCACTATTGGTTGCTACTTCTCGGTGGATGTCAGGTGGTGCAATACCGGCTAGACAGTGTAATTTCTCCAGTGGTGTAGGGCACAGACACCCCATGATAATGAGGCATGTCTCATTAAGAGCCACATCTACTGTTTTAGTGTGGTGAGATGTGTTCCACACTGGGCATGCATACTCAGCAGCAGAGTAGCATAGCGCAAGGGCAAATGTCTTCACTGTGTCTGGTTGTGATCCCCAGGTTGTGCCAGTCAGCTTTCGCAAGATATTGTTTCTAGCACCCACTTTTTGCTTGATATTCAGGCAGTGCTTCTTGAAGGTCATGACAAGGTCCAGGGTGACTCCCAGGTATTTGGGTGTGCTGCAATGCTCCAGTGGGATTCCTTCACTGTTGAACAGCTCTTACTGTCAGGAAGTTTCTCAATATGTTTATGGGAAATTTCTTGCCTTGTAATTGGAATTATTTCAGTCATTTCTACAGATTGGAATGTTTCACAATGGAGTTTTAGACTAAGACCACAGTCTTTCTGCTACAGTTTGTAATACTTACCAGCATAGAGATCCACCACTACCTCTCCAGCACATGGTAGAGAGGCAATCCTTAGCTTCTCGGTAATATTTCCTGGAGAGAGCATACACTTGGTCACATCAAACATGTACCTGTGGAGGAAGAAAAACCCAAAAATCTGAGGAAACAAGGAGTACATTTGCCATAGGCATTTGTCGTGACTCACAGAACACAGAATGTCTTAAACAGCAGTTGAGATGCAAAGTAATAGTATTTTAATGCAAAACAAACTTAATGAGGCACTTAAAAGTCAGTGCAAACAGTTCAAAGGATGATTTCAAATAGGAACACAAAACACTAGATAAGCAGGCTTGAATTGCAGCCAAGAAATAACAGGAGATACGATGAACTAGGAGCAAAATACAAAACAAAACAGTCTTTAAGAGTTGCAAGGCATGGAACAAAGTCCAGTAGGCAAACGCGTAGTCAGTCAGTTCCAAGGGTCAAGAAGCCAGATGTACACTCACGAGCGA